TTCGCACCAAAAATTGAAATACCTTTTAAAGAATTTTTTTTCTTTCTAGATTTTTGCTACAGTCCCTTGTGACTTTCTGTTGCAGTAGAATTGTTGAGATTAAAGTGTGGAAAAGTACTTTGTAAGTCCTTGTTTTTTTTAGCATTTAAGTATAGGTTTCAAATGCCAAACCTAATCGTGGTATCTGCCTTTTAGAATAAATGCATTCGTCTGATTTTCAGCGCCACACCGAAGCACGCCATTACGTCTTTAGTCAGGTTTACTACATACTCCAGATGATACTATAGAATGAATAAATTTTGACCCCTACTGGCGAAGTGCTTTTTACTTTATGCGTTTGCCCATGACCAGATCCGACCTCTCATGATAGAATGTATCAGGAATTCATAAGTTCAGCTTGCGTGGGGGTAAGATGGTCAATGACAAAACTGTCATTTGCGTTGTTCATCGTAAAATGTAAAGCACAGCTGCAACGCAATGATAGAGCAGCTTAATTTTTTCTATAATGTGCTAACGTAAACAATAACCTGGGTTGTAACATTTGAATAACAAGCCTGGAATCCAAATCTTTAAGTAATTTTATGGATGACATCAGCGCGCGTTAATTTTCGCCTGATTTTGTAAAAAAAAAGGAGAACGCTACCTCCATGAAACCTGACAAAGTTGAATCCATTTGACATAATGGCAGGACGAGGAGGAGACACACGAGAGAAAATAATATATTTCATCCATACCATGGTATGGAGTGAAATATAATAAAAATTCCTAAAGGCTCTACATGTAGATGACGCCATCTTTCTCACGCATCATTACGGCGGGTGTTACATAATAGTTCCACACATCCAATTTTTCACGGAGAGCGAGAGTTAACAAGAAATGCAGACACTGAGGCAAGATAGATCGCCAATCCTATTAAAGCGGGTTTGGATAACTCTAAGCTCTAAGTCAACGTTGCAGGTCTCAGTTCCTTTCATCCGTCTTATCTCGGAGTAAAAGGATTACTTTTGGTGAAGCGCCAGGACTACACTTTCCAGTCTAATACATCGCGTTAGGTAATGGGATATTGAGATGGAAACTCCTCTCATCACACACTATAATTTAGTAGTTACGGCGGCAATAGAAATGGACTTGTGCCAAAACATAAAGAGGTACGGCGGGTGACACGCCAGTCAAAATCCCAGCAAACGAACACTGTTCCCTGATTACACACTGTCAGACATAGGAGAACTTTCCTATTAACGACACTAGAACGTTGGAACAATCTTCCGAAGACAATAGCCTGAATAGGGAGTTTATATGTGAAGCAAATTCTTTCCTCCGCGAAAAACTTTGACAGCGTTCTGCCTCAGCAGTCCGGCTGCTAATGTGCTATTGCTGAGTCCCCTGCATTTCATGGCATCTAAAGCCCCTGCCTGTCACATATTCACGGATATGGCCTCGCGAACACTAGCCGAACGCCCCGCAACCATAGGTAGGGCGGAGCAAAGTCAGCTACTAGTCTGCTGCGCCAGCCGGTCCATTCCCAGAGATATCTGTTAGACTTGCTAAGTAAGGACTAACAACATCTTGCTAGTACGGGCAGTTACATATAGAGGGATCACTTTAATAAAAACGGGATTTACCAATACTCGTTATAATACAATCAAATCACACACAATCAAATGTATATTGTGCACATATAGACTTTTATCGCCTAAGATAACCGTTTCCAGAGACTTAAAAATCAACTTCTCACGTCAAATGCATTAGATATAGAAACCCCTCAATGCGTCACATTTACAGCACGAATAATTAGATCTACCAATTTAAAGTTCAGTCTTTATTTCATAGATCTACCAATGGTAGTAATGCCACTAGTAATTGTAAACAGTACCGGACTTGGCAATATAAAACAGTAGTAATCAAATATCCAAGTCCAGAAATTTCATTTACAACCATTGTTAATTCCGAAACTATTGGACTTTCCTTTTAGTTACTACGTGGCCATTGTCAAGACTGAAACTGTCTACAAAGTAGACACTAGACTTTACTGGCATTTATTACCAATTGGTAAATCCAATTCTTTACACGACTCATATCTAACGTTTACTATTATTGCACTCTAAGGACAAACTATTTTTCCACAAAGATGCCAAGTTGGCAAGGACCAATTACGTACCGTATATAATGCCCCTAATGGAGTCTTTGACTATTTGAGTGTAAAACTGTCCTGTCAATACTATGACGAATGTCAAGTTTTGTGACTACGGGACTGAATGATTGCGATACATACATACAGACACACAGACATACACCTAAATAGTGGGGATGAGCTATGAGGTATTGCAGCACCTCGGTAGAAGTAAGACTTAATTCTAGCAAAAATCCCAATTACATCGGAACCATATGACTTCATATGGTACTATTTACGGAGCAAGTCACAATAATTACTTCGTTCTTGACATTTCAATCCATATCGACCGATAACATGCAAATTCATCCGTAAAATATATACATGATCAATCTTGCTTATTGTGTATCGAAAGAAAATTAAGAATTATCGTAACATTCGTTGCAATTTTCACATTGATAACCCAACGTGAATTGTATAATCTGTTGCCAATTAACGAACTAGACGCCATTAATAAGGGTATAAAAGTGCCAATATCCACCCGTTATTGGGCTTTAAAGTTGGAATGTTGACTGCAATTACTGCGTTTGTAAACTTACTTTACAAACTGAACATGACACATTGCAATAACTTTGATATGATGCAAACAACAATCTGATACTGAACCAAATTGCAAAACTAGGATGTATTTATCGAAGTGAATGGCGAAGTCAACAGTACTTAACGTAACGTTACTTTAAGCTTAAAATGACACCATATCCAGCATTTTAATTAAAGGACAGGAAAAGGGACGTCACATATCGTTTGAAAAACTAGAAAGAGTATAGTAGTTAAACACACACCACTACCAGTGGACTAGTAGCCTGGGTACCATCCTGGTTAGTTTACGTCCGCTCCCACAGTCGCTACCGACCAACCAGGTTGGTGGTAGCGACTGTAGGAGCGGACGTAAACTAACCAGGATGATACCCAGGCTAGTGGACTAGCCCCTGCTGTAGCGATTTGCACAACTGTGGCCCAAGGACTACAGAAACGGAGATGGGAGCCATTAATGGTCTGGGGAAGAATTTTGTTTTCACCATTTAGAAGATCACCAAAAGACTACGTTCCTACTGTACAACAAAACCCACTCTTCGTGCAGAACGTGGGACAATTAATTTTTTAAGTGTGTGAAAGTACATCTACAGCTAATCATGCACACTCATCGCTGAAATTGCAATCGTCAATGAGATGTAATGAGCGTAAAACTATCCACTTCAGCAACCAAAGCGTACTGTATAATTGCAATTAATGACGTGCTGACACAATCCTAGTGGTTGCTTAGGAACACAATCTAGGTCAGGGTACTGATTCAGAACTTACTCTGAATATATTATACATATAACTACCGTAACGGTAACACAACGAAAACCTTGGGTATCATAACGTATAAAAAATAAATTTGCTAAATCCCAGGCCTAACATATTGCCTTGCCGTTGATATTCAGATTCAGATTTTATTGAATATCGACTGGCATGTCACATTAAGTGCAGGAAATATGTCGAATATTTACAACTCGTACCCAATTATTACAATATCTGAGATTTTAGAATATCATTTCATTATATATTAAGATATGTAATATAG